AAAGGGCTTAACTTCAAGGTGACTGGGGATTTTAAAGTTTAACCAACTGTTGAAGCCCAACTTGATATTCACCAGATGTGTACAAGTCGACAAAATATATTTTGGTAAACATACAGATGAATAGGCATTCCCAAATATGAATGTGGAACAAAAGAAAAGCGATAGATAAATAAATGCACAATGATCAATATCACACATAAAGTGCAAGAAATTAAAACGGCAAATGGGTTTCTTATGTTGTTGTTTTTCAGAAGCATATACATAGGTAGCAAAGTATTGAAAATCCACGGAGGGCCTGGTTCAGTAGCTTAGCAAATAAAGTCCTTGCCTTGTACACACTGGCATCCCATATGAGCACTGGTTCTAATCCTGGAGAAGCCACTTCCCATCCAGTGTCCTGTTTGTGGCCTGGGAAAGCAGTCGGAGACCCGGCATCTGGCTTGGGGAGTGAACCAGCAGAAGAGCTTCCTCTCTGTCTCTCCTCCTCTCTGTATACCTGACATTGCAATTAAAAAACAAAAAATCATTCAGAAAACGCATTGAAACAAAGCCCATCCAATGCCCAAGCAGGAATGCACATCCACTGAGAAGGGCGAGGAAGGACATAAAGAAGGCCATCAGGAGGGCTGACCGTGCTGTCATTCGCCATCTTAGAGGAAGCACTGGCCACACAAACCTCCTTCACACTGCTGTCTGATGTATTTCATGGCTCCAAAATAGTTCAAATTAGAATCTTTTCATTGCAGGGGATAAGAAACTCAAAAATGAGACAATTAAAACCAATATTGCCAAGACAAAGATATTTGGGTCTCTGAATCTTCTGGAGCTGATATTAGGCAAATGACACCATCTTCAAATAGATGAATATAGGAGCTAAGCACTGAAATGACACTCAGCACTGAAATGACACACACATAACTTAACTGAATACAGCTGAGATGTGTATTTACAAGGTAAGTAACCTGTCATCGTGTGTATTTTCCAGTCTTCGTTTATGGAACTACTGGCAGAAGAACCTATTGAAAGGCCCTGGAAGTGTCTAGAAATGCTTCTTCAACTATGAATGGCCTTTTCACTTTAATTTTATTACGATATCATTTTCAAGAAATCTGAAAATGAAGATAAAGTTGCTCCGCATTTTCATAAGTGCTCAAAGTGGTGAACCGATCAGACTTCCGTGTAGACGGTACCAAGAAGTACTTTCCCCACGGTTATCAGAAACGAAGCACTCTTACGCACACAAGCACACAACGCAGTCAAGAGGGCAAGCACAGCTGTATTGAAAAATCCGAGAGAACATTTCCAGTGACAATACCGAGCCATCTTTCCGCCTGTGGGAAAGACTTAGACTCCTCGGAAACGGAGTCTGAGCATCCTCTTAAAATGAGTGTCTCCGTCCTCATCCCATCTTTCAATGTTAAATTACTTCAGCGTTACCAAGGAACAATCATGCTTTAGTATGACTGCTAATTATAAAATAACTTCTATGTCTGCTAATTCAATACCCTAACAGAAATCAATACCCCAACAGAAGAATTGATATATTTGAGGGGGCAGGTGCTTGGTGCAGTGATTAAGAGCCTACTTGGCATGCTCTTATCTTATTGTAGGGTTTGAATCCTTGAGTCCCATTGCTGCTTCTGATTCCAGATTCATTCTAATATAAATTCTGAGAGGAAGCAGGTGGCAAGTCATAGTCTCAGGTTCCTGCCACCTGCAACAGAGGATGAGAATTAGTTCCTGGCTCCCAACTTCAGGCTGGCTTAGCCCTAGCTTTTCTGGTCTCGGAAATAAAGCAGGAAAAGTGGAAAATCTGTATCTGAAAAAAGATCTGTCCATCTCTGTTTGGATCTGTGTGTTTCAAAATTTTTTTAAAAGCAAAAACAATTCCATTATCTTCCCAGCCCATTGCAATATCAGGCTACGGATACTCAATGTTGTTTGTAATTCTTCAACAAAACACTTAGCAAAACACACACACAGAGACCAAGAAAGACACCACAAAACCAAAGTTTCTCACCGTACAGCAAAACTGCGAGGTGATCCGATGCCATGAACAGAAGGGGTAAAATTTCATAAACCAGAGGAGGGCAGAATGAGGGTCTAAATGGTGACTGTGAGTTTGTTTCCACGACCATAAACATAAGGAGACATTTCAGACCTCAACAGCCACATCTGTCTCCATATGTGTATCTATCAGATCAGACACCCAAAGACGATATCAGCAAAGGAAATCAACATTTGCTAAGAGAAACGACCTGCTGGGTGCTCTAATCTTCCTTGTAGCTATGGCTGCGGATGTCGAGAACATGAAACCCAATGGCTCTCGCCCATTTCTGGTGTAAGACACAGTCACAGGAAGCACCTTCTCCCCTCCAAGATGAAGACCCAGTTTGTTGATGGTAGTCAAAAGGCAAAGACCTTTCAATCTCAGGGCTCCACAGCAATGGCTGCTGAGTTGAAGATGCCGAAACGCTCACTGTTGGTGGTTCTTAGAGCGACAACGTATAATAAGCCTGGAAATAGGTGAAAATCCAATTCCTAACACAACTTGAAAGCCCTCTGCTTGTAAAGCACCGGCCAGGAACAAGACAGAGCCCAGGAGAGGTGCCAAACAATATGGGGAGCATCTTTCAGACAATGTTCTCCAGGAGTCCTGGCTAACGAAGCTCATGAAAGTGAAGAATATTCCCACATAGTAGAGCCTGTGAAAGATCATTACCCGGGAAGATCGGTACCCGAGAAGAGCAGCATCTTTCCTGAAGACACCTGCAACAGGGAATGCGATGGGAGCCGCACTTCTCCTTATAGATCAGACAAGACACTAATGGCTGCACAACACAAAGCAAGCAGGGCTGGGACGGTCCTCCACCGCCATGTGCTGAAAAATACTGAGTCGGGGCACAATTCATTCGAGAACTTATTGAAAATATGTCAGGAGAAAAATGGAAACACCAAATGAAAGTCGAGCAGGAGAGCCTGCTTCTAAGATGGAAAACAACATCTCAGAAAACCGCATCTTCGAAAGATTCATAGGAGAGAACAGGCTGAGATGAAAAGAATTTCAGGAAAGACCACATACACACACACACACAAAATCCAATACATATTCAGTGCCTTTAAAAATACAAATAAATAACACAAAACCAAAGACAACTTCATACATATATGAAATTATATAGATATGACTTATGTATATACGTATGTGTGTATATATTATATATATTCAATACATATATGTTACAAGAGAATATTTTCAATTCAAAGTAAAGTCATTTAACATGGACTAAACTGAACCATGTGCTGGAAATGGGAGGTAAGGTTTGCATTAAAAGCAAAAGGGAAAGCCTCCCACTCTGCAAAAACAGTGAACGTCAAAACAGGGGTGATGGTGAACGCCTAGGAGACGGACGACAGCCTGGTGGCAGACCTCATGTGAACAGCACCAACACTGGAGGATGAGAGAGGAAGGCACGCAGAAGTCTCAGCAGATGATTTCAAGACCTGCAAGGCTCACCAACCTGGAGTTGTGTACATACCTGAACCAATATCATGGCATTCTTTAACATTCGGCATATACTCAATATGTTGAAATATAAAGCAAGACATTAAATGTAGAACCGGAAGTGGTCTGGTAGCTGATGTAAAAGCCAGGTAAAACATGCATACACCATAGTTTTGGCTAAATTTTGGTCAAAAAGTATATTCACATGCTTAGTAGTCCGTGGGAAGAATATTTTATATATATGTGCGTGAATATGTATGAATATGCTTCTGTTTACTATATATCAGCATGCAGGCATTAACACATAATATGTATGCAAATGTAATCTGCATAATAAAATGGCACAGTAACAACTTAAATCAATAACCAATACCAAGTCACTGAGGGAAAAATGAACTAAATCCAACGGCTGAAACAGAGGAACTCTGAAGAAATAATTTCAAACTCTATTAGAGAAATATATGGAAAGTACTCCGGGAAACCTAAGGGAATCGGGTAATGTAAACGTGATACACAGCTTTCAAAATACCCAGTGGAAATAGAAGTAAAAATACTAAGCACAGAAGGTAAAACAAAGAGTAAGTAAGTATGAAAAACAGACTACACAGAACACAAAGGCAGGTGCACAGCCAACGGCTGCCTTCGGGAAGACGGTGCAACAACACGCCATGCGTGAACAACACGCCGCCCGTTTAACAACAGCCAACCCTGTCGCATCCCAAGAACACACACATCCCAATGACAGAGTTAGGGAGGCATAAAGAACGAAGAGAGATCTCACAAACAAGCAAGCCACGGCATGCCTCGTATACAATATGTGCACGCGTGCACACACACACACACACACACACAGGAACAGAGCTTAGTAGAAAGAAACAAGCATAGAAAACAGGCAAAGATTAAAAACGAAATTGGGCTCTGATCCCAATCCCACCTGCCCTGGAGAAAGAACGTGGTTAGGCCGTGGTGTGTTCACCCAGGTCCGATGATCAGCACACACAGCTCCAGGGCTCCGGCCTCAACGGAAGCTGTGGGGAAGGACGTGTGCAAGGCAAACACCCTTAGGGGTCAAACCTCTATCACCATAGGTACCATCTCCTCTGTCTCACTGTGCTGGGTCTCTGTTGTGGTGGTTGTGGTGGTGGTCTTGTTTGTTTTTCAATACTTTCAAGTCTGACGCATGCAACGCCCCAAATTACAGGTTCTTCAAGAGCAAGGGTCACATCGCGCACATACCTTTAACTGGTCCTTTTTTCCTTCACTACAGAGTCCTTGCAAACTAGTAAAATAACACCCACACACAGGCACACAAGGCATACCTTTTAAGCTCTGATTCATTCATTGTACACAGGTTTGAAAAGTCCTACTGAACCATTCTCTCAACCTCTTTTCTAAACTGGTAAAATCCATGTATGTTTCTGAAATCCAAGATAACCAAATAAATAACATATTTTTTAAAAAGCTGATTGTGCTAGCTGTACAAACAAAGACTTACAGGCAAACTGAAGTTTAGCTTCTCGGCTGACGATTGTCCCAAGCGAATTGGTTGCAAAGCACTGGTAACTTCCTGCGTCCCAGTTTCTGTTGGGGTTGAACACCACAAGATTTCCCCCACTCAGCTTATAACGATGTTCCATCGTCATATCAATATCGCTTCCATTCAGCTGCCACCTGCAGAACACATGTCAACATTTTAAAATTTAAAAAAAAAAAAAAACCACTTGCAGAGGGTGCGCTCAGGCTCAACAATTAAGACACTGCTTCTTAGGCTTGCATCACAATGCATGCTGGACCGGAGTTCTGGCCCCACTTCCCCTTCCAGCTTTCTGCTAAAGGCTCCACAACCAGGGTCTCTGGTATCTACCTGGGAGCCCCAGGAGTGTTCCTAGCTACTGGATCTGGCCTGGTCCAGCCCTTGCTGATGCAAGGATTTGAAAAGAAAAGGCTGAAGGCATTCTCTCTTCTTTTCTTATGCCCTCTTAAAGAAAATTTTTAAATGTAGTTTAAAAATTATATGGTATCACTCATAAATGTAAGGGTACGTATACGTTAATGGTATTACCTAAATGAAAACACATGTACCAACATGTGCATTCAAGAAAAAGGGAGGGTTCAAGTGGAGAAGAAAATTCAACCCAGTAGCATCCAGAAGCCAAAGAATCTTTTGAAAAGACCATCTGGAAAAGGTGGAAAGAACTGTGCTTTGTTCACTAAGGGAAAAATTAGGCCAGGTCTGCAAAGACCAAGACGAAGTAGAAAGTTGAGGCAATTATCTGCTCTACTTCAGGCCAATGGCACGCGGAGGACGAAGACAGAGACAGTACGTTTCCGTGATTTATTCAGACTGACTGGGCACATTTAATAAATTAATTGGATAAGTGCTCAACTATCCATTTCAATTTGTCTGGGTAAATACCTGCCCCCAAGGCCTTCTCCATTTTTCGGGAACAATCACAATGCTATTTACAAAATGGTACACTGTGGTAAGAGATCCTAACCACCACCTAGGGGGTCTCTGAAAGAAAAGGCAATAACCCCAGAGCTGTATTTAACCACGGGAAGCCAAAAGAAAAAAAAAAATAAAGAAGCTAGCTTTTAAACAAGAGCTTTGAAAGTTTTAAAAAAAAATCTAGAAGTTTTGAAACAGCAAGTATATTTGACATATCAAAGTACACATATTGTTTTAAAGGCACAAGTTTATTTCAGCTTTGCTTATTTCAAAAGAAGAGGAGAGAGAAGAAAGAGATTTGACCAATGAACGCAGCAGCTGAATATGGGAGTAGCCGAAGTTAGGAATTTAGAAATCAACCAGTTCTTTCATAGAGTGGCCAGGCTCAACCACAACACCCACCATCTGTCACCTTCTAGGGTCCAAAGCAGAAGGAGGCCGGAATCAAAAGCAGAGCTGGGGGCCCAGTGCAATAGTGTAATGGTTAAAGTTCTTGCCTTGCATGCACTGGGATCCCATATGGCGCCGGTTCTAATCCCGGCTGCCCTGCTTCCCATCCAGCTCTCTGCTTGTGCTCTGGGAAAGCAGTCCAGGACAGCCCAAAACCTTGGGACCCTGCACCTGCTTGGGAGACCCAGAAGAGCTCCTGACTCCTGGCTTCGGACTGGCTCAGCTCCAGCTGTTGCCACGGTGATTTGGGGAGTGAACCATCGGATAGAAGATCTTCCTCTCTGTCTCTTTTTTTTATTGGAAAGGCGGATATACAGAGAGGAGAGACAGAGAGGAAGATCTTCCGCCTGATGATTCACTCCCCAAGTGAGCGCAACGGCCGATACTATGCCCATCCGAAGCCAGGAGCCTCTTCCTGGTCTCCCATGCAGGTGCAGGGTCCCAAGGCTTTGGGCCGTCCTCGACTGCTTTCCCGGGCCACAGGCAGGGAGCTGGAAGGGAAGCGGGGCTGCCGGGATTAGAACCGGTGCCCATGTGGGATCCCGGGCGTGCAAGGCCTTAACCACTGCGCCACCGTGCCGGGCCCAAAAATAAATAAATTTAAAAAAAAAAAAAAAGCAGAGCTGGGACTGAAACCCAGAGTGGTGGGTATCTCAGAGGCAGCACAGTCACTGAGACCAACACCTGCTTCTAGACAGCAAACTCATTCCTATCTCCCAAGCTCAGAAATACATCCATGGCATAAATGAGAGCCGTCAGCTCTCAAACAGCGACATTCTTACAATAAAATCACATTTCTGTAATTTTTTTGCCAGACCTGATGCAGGGGATCTCAGTGATGCATTAGACGGATTTCCAGAAAACTGAGCCAAGTGCTGCCAATTTTACAGATGAATTTGGGTGAATTTTAAAATGTCCCCACATTATTCATTAGCTTGATCAAGAATACCACTCATTTGAATTCTAGCTCAGAGTTCTCCATCAAATCCGTGGGCCGTCAAGAATTCTTACAAATACAGAAAATATTTAGCCTGCACATATAATATACAACATGAAAGCCATAACGAGATAAAGACATCATGTTCCATACAAGTGCATGAAGTTAAATGTAGTATCATGCAACTTTAAGAGTAGATGACCTCTCAACAATTGAAGAATAAAAAAAAAAAAACCCAAAAATTAGTTTGGTATCATTTCATGAATTTTAAAATACAGATAGTAATATAAATGCATACTAAATATGTTTTTAAAGGTATGAAAAATTTCACATGGAGAAAGGGTGGATGTGTTAAGGAGAACATACCAGAAAATGTGTCACTTTGAGTTTAATTTCTTAGACTAAGTGGTGGTCAAATGAATATTCACTATCATATGTTATTAAATATCTATCATATCTTTTATGTCTGAGAAACACACAAAGGAATCAGAATCATCGGGGAATACAGTACAGGGAGTAGCTAAACTTGTAAGTTTAGTCCTTACTGTTCAAAGTAGTACTTCATTATTTCCTCATTTTGGAAATCTGTTTTCATTTTCTTTTATTCACATAAAAGTTTCCCAGGTCGAAAACAACATTTCTAACAAGAAAGGAAAAGGCAATTAAGAGGAAAAACTTGAGACCAAGACTGTCTTTCTTAGGAACTTAAAAGGACACATTTTGGGAGAAATAGAAAACTCTGTAACCTCTTTCTCATTTGTGGCTGATTGCTACTGTTGCTTTTGTGTGGTTTGATCTTTTCCAGGCAAAGTCATCCGGATGAACACTTGGGGTCATTTTCTCCTATTCTCCTGGAAGAGTTTTGAAAGTTGAACCATGAGGACTTATGAACCTCCCCCTCCATGTCACTCCTTGCAAAGGTGTCGATTGACAGAAACTCAGAAAAGGAGCTGAAATAAAGGCACCTGCCCATCAACAGGCTGTCTGCCGTGGGCTACCGATGCACAACACATCTGCAAAGCAGCAGCACAACCTCCATCACCACCACCAAAAGCTGCTGCCGATGAGCAATCTTGGCCTCATCCTCCATCCACCAACTCAGAACACCTTAATGAGATCCCCAAAGGTTTAATATGCACCTCCAAATATCATGGACTGCCCGCAACAGACACATGCACAAATACCCCTCTTCAATCCTTCCCACACCCCTTCTCTTTCTTCCTCTTTGCCAGTGAAAAGAGCACCTGTCAGGCACCTCCACGTTGGGGAATATTCCAGACCCGAGCCTTCACGAAGCTCATCCTTTTGGAGTTTTTCACCGCCTAGTTTCCCAGCTCCCACCACTAGTTCGTCCACGACTCCCAAGTCATAGCTGGTCTTCCAAAGAACAGTACTATGAAAGTAAACAGGGTCCAGAACCAAGTGCTCCCTGGACTCATTTTCAACAATTTCTTGTCCTAGGGCACAATGCCTAAGCTTCCTCAAGCAAAGTATTTATCACCGAAGAGAAGAGGGTGCCACCTTCCCAGTAAGGTCATTCCAAAGATTCATTTAGACAAAAGAATCAAAGCTCCCAGCTCAGTGCCTCCAGGCAACCAAATAACCAATTCTGGATGCCCTGGTAGGTAGCAGGTGACTCCAGCAAGGTGTAAACCTGACTGTTCGCTTTGCTTCTCCTTTATTCCTTTCTCATGAAGCACCTGCTGATTACACACCACTTACTCCAGGCTATGTTTCTGGTCATCTCTCATGTAGAACATTCTGTATATTACACATGCAGTTTGTCTGCATCTGTACCCGCTCTTGGGAGTCAATGAAACGTGGGATGGGGGACATGCTGGGCTTGACCTTTAAAGAATAAATCTGACGGGAAATCACGAGTGGGTGGGTTTGACTTTTAAGGTGTAAATAGTTTGTTAGTTCCTAAATGACTAAATGCTTGAGGTGCGAAAAGCTCTCAATTAAAACGAGGGGAAAACTGTAGCTCATTTCATACACTTTTGAATAAAAGGCTCTTGTGACAAAAGAAATGTGGTTTTTTGGTCCCTACCATACACCCTTTCTATAGGAAAATAAAAGCACTTCACCAAAGACTCAGAATGTTTTATGGCCTGACAAAGCAGGCCTGATTGTTTCACTCGAACTTTGTTGTTGTGTTTAGCTGATGAATAATTAAGGCACTGTGGCGCTACGAAAAATTGTACAGATATATAAAAATACAGGAAAGCGCACTTCTTGCCAGTTTAGTAGCTGGAAAGATTTAAGAGACCATAAAGTATGTGGGAAAATACTTCATTTCCATAGGCACCTACAGTGTGAAAGCTAGCATCCTAAATTTTGACTCTAGAATCAAATGCAGACAATGTGTAGCTTTTATCGATGTATTTTTCACCTCCTTTAGCATGGCCTTCCTTATATAACCATCTCTAGACTCTGATGACATGAAAAACAAAATCACTACCTTTTCAATGTTTCTGCTCTAGTACAAGCATTGAATATCCGCCTTAGCAAACTCTTCGTAACTAAGAGGCATGTGAGATACTAACCAGGTATTTTTTTTTTTTAAAGACAACGTAATTATTTTTCCTCTTCCTAACTCTGCTCAACATTTCCTGGAACTCATCCTCAGGTGATTTACTAAGCTTGGATGGTTTTTCTTTTGGCTGAAAGTGTGCTCACTGGTAAGGGCAGTCTTCATTTAACCAGCTCTGATGCGTAAGTGATTCTGGACCTGCGCTTCCCACGGTGATTTTTATTGTGAGATAGAAACCAGTGTATCTATGTTCTATAATAAAATATTCATATCGGGGCCTGATGTTTAACCATACCTCCTGT